CTGCAACCGACAGGAAAACGGGCCAGTGACTCAGTTGTAGGGCCTTGAACTTAGCGCCTAATGACTGAATAATTCGCGTCATTCAAATCTTAGGTCGGATATGGTTGACTAGCCGTTCCAGTCTGCATTGTCTTTATCACCACTCCCTTCTTCAAGGACGTTCTTCTATTATAGTTGACTATTGTGCTTTACCTGCTATAGACATCTTAACGACTTAGCCGATATGCTCTGACACTTACCGGCTAGCAGAAAGACCGGGTCGGGTTGGCAAAGGGCTATCGGGACGCCAACCAGACCATTATATTCTGCTGCTCGTCCTCACCCTCATCATCTGTGGCGACAGTGGCGTTATCGGCATAGACTAATGATGACTGACCGTTTCCTACTTTTTTGGAACTTCACCCTTCAGTTCTACGAAATGCAGTACCAGCCACGGCATTCGATTCGCGGTCCGTAAACCCAAATCGAAACCCCCACTTTACTCACTAATTTTAGTAGTGAATTCTAAAAATTGGATACGTTTTCGCGTTATTTGGGTACGCTTCTTTGAATTATATGATTAACCTAACCAGCAAAATTATTTGCTGGACTAATGTGGTTTGCCAGTACACACAGTTGGGCTGGTTTAAATTAGACCCTGAATCACTTTTAATGTAATGGACCATCTAGCTGTGCATTTGTCGTGCCCAACGAAAATGACAATTTCCCAGACAATCCTATTATCCACATAAACTGACGTATATGAAATGGGATCTGGCCACACTCGCTCTCACTCTCTCCTCCCCATCCCACCATATCTCCATGGGGAAACTGAGTTAATAGGAGTGAAGATAAAAACGGGCGCAGTTTGTGGCCAACCACTTTGGCCAGTCACAACTACTATACTCCCTTTCGGACCAGACTTCAAGTACTCGAATAAAATTATTGGCCAGGGCAAAGGTAACCAGCATATTAAAATGATGCAGTTGCAGATTAGCCCTCGATCTTACGAGCCGCCCTATTTTGCTAGTCAACAACCTTTAAAAGACCGACATTTAAGGATCCGGACTAGTTATTATTCCTTGAGCACATCATCGCAGTTAAGCTCTCCGAAGCAAAGAGGTCCCATACTGGTTCACCAGATGGACTCAATGGTGGCTTGCACGTGAATCTTTTTATAAAAGGAACAGATGTGAATGTATCTGCATCAATGGCCTTCTACATGTTCCTCGAAATACAATGGAAGGCAAAGTCAAGACTACTAGAAGTGGACGTGGGCACGGCGGTCAGTAAAACCGACGAGCCCGTCTACGCATATCACACACGATCCCGTCCATAACTCCACGCATAGCAGGCTTTGTTCACGGAGGTAGCGTCTAGAATCTCACATCTTATGGGGGAGAAAATGAAGACTAAGCCACATTCCCATAAGGGTACAAGCAATCCTGTGAATTGGCAGCCTTCAAAACCCCAATTTTGGCACGTCATCATGGCTGCAAACTTGTTTGGCTGCTTTAATGAGGAAATAAACGCTGCATCCGGGCTGAATCGATCTCACTCTCATTTTCCTCCGCAACTCGCCAGTAGTTTATCTGAGTAAGGACGCCAGAGGTGAGACCGTACGCAAGAGCTGACGTGGCGAGAGATCGCCCATTAGCTAATTCCATATACTAGGTCGGATGTCAGTAGTGCAAATTAAAAAGCCACGTCTTTATGTGCTCTGCCCTCTAACATTGCATTGACTGATTATTTTAGACGTCCCCCACTTATTTTCTGTATCATTAATCATACATGCGGCCCAGAAACACTAATTTAATTGTGCACCAAAAGCTGAGTAAATTCAGCTGCTTCTCATGAAATCTAGGGTTGGAGGAAGTTCTTTTCTGTTCTCCCTTCACAGTAAAGTGCATCTGCTTGAAGCACTTTATTAAACTTCAGTTTTTGTCTTGTAAATAAGCTTCTTATTCCGAATCATTTTCAAATAACTATCGACACTCTTGCAAGATCTAGAGTTCGCCGTTACATTGGGCTTTCATGTCTGTGAGAGGACGCTTGACCTACTGAAACTTCTAACTCAATGGGCATTTAACAATTCCTGAACGGGTGCAGTCGTCGTCGGCTAAACAACCAATGGGCGATTACAACTTGGCAAACATTTAATTTCTTGCTGTTTCTACCACTGGGGGACGGAGCTAACATGCTGCGAGAAGCCATTCAGATCTGTGTGCGACCGTCCAGTGCCATGAATACCCGGCAAACCCCTAACAATCACTAGTTTATGGGAAGGTGTCATCAGGACCGCCAATTTACGCTGCTGCCGACCCGGCAGTTCGACCGTCGCGAATGACGACGCAAAGCATCTGCC